CTGTTACATACACTGTATTTTTTTTTGTTTATGCCAGTTGATCTACTGGCTCTTCACAGCAATTCTCTCTTTCTTTCCCTAAAAGACTCAGCTGTGCCTACAAACAGTTCAGGTTGTGTCTTCCTGTATATATTACCTTGCATATGCTAACATCTGTTTTATCAATCCTATTGCTCAAAATTACCTGACTTTCAAGTAATTTGGAATTCATCAACACCTCCTTTAAGCTTTGCTGACCTAAAAAATTTCTGCATCTGCAATTTCACTGCTACTTTTTGATGACTGAAATAATCAATCATCCGTTTCAGCACAGATATTTACAACCAGCCTTTTCTGATTGCATGTTTATCATTTATTTCTGTGCTTTGCCCTCTGGCTCTTTAGCAGTCTCATGCATCAGGAAAGTGCCTGTCCACTTAGAGTCTGATGTATTTCTTATTGTCACGGCACATTGAGACATAATCATTCAGCACTATGAGGAATTGCTGCTGCCAATTCCATCCCAATTTATGTGTGCACAGCTGGTTGTCCTTTGTTACTGATTTATCACATTTGCCCATGCTGGCACTGTGCACTCAGCCTTGTTCTCATCATCAAAAACCCCCAAGTAAAACCACGTGTATTTTTACACATATTTTTACATCTGCTTGCATGGCACAATTTGTTGTGAGTCCAGCACATCCTCATCTCCCCAGGGACTTGGTGCTTCCTTGCTTGTGCCCTGATCTGCCCCCACAGAACCCAAGAACTCCCTAGACCTCTTCCCAATATCCTGTGAATCTGCCCTCAGCCTAAGCAAACTAAGCAGCAATTGAGCACCATCATTCCCATTTAGCTTGTCCCCCTTTCAGATATAGCAATAGGATTTTATTCCAATTATCCTCAGTTTAACCCATTTATAGCCCAACCTGACTAACACAAGATTAGGGGAAATAGAAGAGAACCTAAACATCAAAAAAAGATGGAAGGGTTGAGTGTTGGTTTTAACTGGGCCATTGCAGTGGTCCAGGTTCCATCACAGCTGGCCCTGCTGGAGCAGCACAGTGAGGGCACAGACAAGTCCTGGCTTGGAGCAGAAACAAGCAGGTGAGGAGGGCAGGAGTGGAACGGAGGGTGTGGAATACAAGGGGAGGCAGAACAAGGATTCCCTAAGCCTCATTGCAAACCTCCAGCCATGTCAAAAAGCTCCTGACACAGGTCAAAACCCACTGAACAAGCACAAAGTGAAATCAGCTGTTAATCCAAACAGTAAATACATAGAATATGCGTGAAGAATAAACCACCAGGTGTGTACAGAAAAACTAATGGTAGTTTTAGGTATCTTTGAAATGCCTTGGTATTTTTCATTGGGAATATAAGATTTAGGATGTGCAAGTTTAGAATTAACTCTAAAACAGTCCTTTAAAAGACAGACGAAGAAGGAAGTACAAAAATCAAAGGACATGGTGAAGGTCAAAGTAGAGAAGAACTGCCAAAGAAATTAACTTCTCCCGTTCAAGGCTAAAACTGACCACAAGATCAGACTGGTTCAACTAACCACATGATGAACAAAATCAGGTTTTGGGTGAGAGGCATAGAATCTACTTTCTGTATTCATTTTTATATAGGAGTTTAAAATACCAGCCTTTCCCCATGAGAAATGGAACTTTGGTGCTGATCTTGCACATGTTTAGATTTATGTTTTAAGTATTAGCTAATGTTTTTCTTTGAAGTAATACTTGTGATGCCTTTTTTTTTTTAAATTATAATTTCTGGTCTTTATTCCATGGTTAGCATTTGCTTTGAAGGTTACTGCAGCAGGTCATTCAAACTCCACGGATCTCTATCAGATTTGGGTGAGGGAAGAGGAAGGACCAGTATTTTTTGCGTTTCTGCAACAATCTCATACCTTGACTCTGCAAAAGCAGGCATTTACAAGCACTGATTTCTCACCCAAACTAACCCTGTCCCTAAAGCTCATACTGGAGCAGGAGTGACCATGACAGGTTATTTTCTTGCAAGGCTTAATATCCTCCAGAGCAGGCACACCAGTTTTCTGGAATTTAACTCAGTTGATTCGGTTCCTCTTGAATTTGTGACCACAAAAATTACCAAAGGAAAACCCAACAAATTAAAATTTATTTTTTTAAAAAGCTATCAGCCAGATGTTGTGAAGACAAGAATTAGCCAAAATACAACATTCTTGAAAACTGGCCATGAAGTTCCTGAGTCTCAGCTGGCTGGCAGCTGTCAGTCTCAGACAGCAGCTACTGCCTCTCTAGCAAAGGACAGTGGTTCCTCATGTCCTGCACTTCATATTTCTTTCCAAAGCAGAAAGATATGATAATCCACAGGAGAAGCAAAACAGCCAATAGCTTCATTTCACAGAGGGTTACAGGCAATAGCTGCAAATTTAAAGAAAATAGGGGGGGACATAAAGGTGTTCATGTTAAACACTGAGTATGATCCTAGGGGTGCAACATAGCAACAGAATTCTGAGATTCAGAGGTTATATCCAAAATCAAATCTTTCTTTCCTCTGTTTGCATCGGGAACTTCTCCCCTCTGCTCCAACATTATCTCTTGTGAAGTATGAAAACCATTTGCACCAATGAAGAGCAGGTACCACACATTCAAACAAATTGCCTTCTCCGAGGATCTCAGGTGCTTTGGTCTGGGAGCAGCTCTCTGAATAAACTTCAGTCAGAAGGTGTATCCTAACTCCAGGCAGCTCATAACCATCCACTCCCACTGCTTCAAAAACATCTCAGCACCTCATGTTGAGGGCAGGGCTGGGAGCACCACTTTGGTGGAAAATATTCACAGTTATTCCTAACAGACAAAGGTTTAGCATCTTGGAGTTGTCTCAGTGCAGAGACAGATTTTGAAAACAGCTCTGATTTGTGAAGGGACTCTGAGCCATGGACTTGTAACCAACAACTGGTTCAGGTTTACCAGCTGAAGCACAGTTTTTCAGAGAGAGTCTGGTCTAAGAAAATAAAGAAAATAGCCAAACTATTTATTTAAAAACATGTAATTATGAGTTGTCACCTGCCCATGTAATCAGAGAAACAAAGAAAAAAGCAAAACTATTTATTAAAATAATGTAATTATGAGTTGTCACCTGCCCATATAATCAGAGAAACACGCCATTTGCTAAGAGTTTAGAAACAAGAATCCTGGAGGAATGAATCAGGCAGTTCTAGTGTCTCCTCCAGGAATGAGCAAAGCAAGAGCAGTCACAGGCTCACAGACCTTTCCCAACCCACTCGGAGTGCCCATGTGCCAGCTGCTCTGTGCCACTGGGAGCACACATTGCTGATCTCAGCTCAGGGGGAAGAGCAGGATTTCAGAGCAGGAGAGTCTGTCCCTGTCCCTGTGGGGAAGCTGAAGAGCTGTTACAAACAGAATGTGTTTTCCAGGCAGCCAGGGCTGTGTTGGAGCAGCACAGGGAAACCTTTCTGGACTCGGCAGGAATTTGACCACAAGAGATACTTAAATCATCAATGCCCGAGTCAGTGTCCCTCTTGTCCATCACCTGACAGCACAATCTCTGCTAAAACCAACATTTTAAGATGCTTCACATTCAGATCTGCATCTTGCAGATGAAGCTGGAGCATCTTTGAAGCCACAACTGACTTGAAAGCCGCTCAACAACTGCACAGTAAGGAGATCTTCAGCTTTAATGTGCCCCAGCATGGAAAATGAATATGTGGTGCATATAAAAACAATTCACTCATGAGGCACCCATATTTACAGGAAGTGAAATACAACTATTTGAGTCCTACCATCTGTGCCAGGCCTATTGATAAACCTCCCCTGACAGGATGAAATAGTGCTCCTGTAAAGGCATCCTTAACCTAATATGCCTCTACAGCATTGGGCTGGACTAGGTTTGAAAAACAGCTTCTTATAATACACAGATGAATTTAGCACTTAAGAAGATTAATGGATTCATAAATAGCCTGGAAATCCAAACTCATTGAATTTAGTCCACAGAACAGGTCAAATAGGCATTTATCAAACCATCTGGCATTTTGATTCCCTGGGGAAACTGTGGTCAAGCTACAGATAACTGAGAAGCCATTGCAGCAGGGAAGGCTTGGTTTTCCCTGTACTCAGCTTTCCTCTGGAAATCTCTGGCACTAATTAGAAAGCAGTAGATCTTGGACAGAAGTGAATTTCTATACAGTCACTTATATTTTCAAGTGTTGGTGCTTAACACAAACAAAAGTACAGTCAGGTTTTAAGTGAAAGTACTTATGTTGCAATAAATAGCTTGCCATTTGCTTTAGGCCATAAAAGGACACTCATGTGCACTCATTTGAGTAGCCTACAAAAAAAATCACCTGAGTTGTTCAAGGATCTAAAAAAAAAATTTAAAAAAATAAAAAAAAAATTAAAAACCCAAGCAAACAAAAAAAACCCCTAGGTTTGAGCAGTTAATTTCTTTTTGTGAGTAAAATATCAAATTATTTTATTAATATGTTTTGATACATAAATCCTCATTCTTTCTGGTCATATTAGCAGCTTTCATCGAAGATTTCAAAGATAAAACATTTAAGATGACATATAAAAGAAATTTATCAGTACGGCATAATATGACATACTACATGGTACATATTAGTCATGGAAATACAAAATATTTCATAGGGCCTGGTTGCATTTGTCATCACCGTGCTCTGGCCCTGCTGCCATGCCATGAAACAATCTACAAATAAAAAAATTTATTCCTTGAAACAAGATATTCACTGAAAAATTAAACACGTTGAAATTATGGGAATAAATAGGTTGAGTTTAAGTAGCTTTGCCTCAGAGAAGAATGTTTAGACAAAAGTGGGTCCATCTGGTTCTCCCACACCAGTGCCAGATAAGAGAAGGGGAGAAAGGATCAAAATTCTGCCTGTGGTCACGGCCAAAATACTGTGCCCATCCCAGATCCCAGGTGCCCTCCCCTGGCACTTTCCTCCTTTTCATGAGGCCGAGTGCTGCATCCAGCATTCCAGCATCCCTGGATGCTGCCCAGGACTGCCCTGCTCCCTCCTGCACCCGCTGGGGGAAATCAGGAATAGTTTCCCGTTGTTCAGCAGTGCCTGCCGTGGCTGTGGGTGTCTGTCAGGACATGAAGAAGGGCCTGGTTTTGCAGCCTCATTTTGCTCTCCTGAAGCTGAGTCACCATGGAACATCTTGCTCTCACGAGTTGGCCCCATGGAGCAAACAGACAGACCCCTCTTCCCTCCATTCCCAGCAGGGAACAGCACACGTCTCTAGGCAAAACTCAATCTTAGTGCTGTTCATCTCCCTGTGAGTATCCAGGAGGCTGTGGGACACCCACAGGAGAGATTTGTCACTCAGAATGGGACCCAGATCTCACCAGCTCCCAGGGGAATATAGAGCCAGATCCAAGGAACCCAACCTGGAAGAGTTTGGAGCCCATTATATATCAGAGGCCCACAAAAAAACTTTTCTCTGAAGACAAAGTAGGCGCAGGGTCTAAATGCTTTAGCAGAACCCCTGCTCCATCCAGCCCTTGGACTATTTGCACAGCAGAGCAATCACTGTACAAAGTGCTGGGAGGTACAAGGAAGAGGAGTCAGCCTCGGATCTGCCTTCCCCCGTGCCGGAGGAAACCCCTTCAGTCTGTCCATCCATCTGCGTGCTGTTACTGTACACTTCAGTGGCATTTGCCACCTCCTCAGGAAGGCCCATCTGGAGCAGGAGTTTGGAGATAAGGCTGTTGAACTTGCTCTCTGTGGTAGACCAAGGCTCCTGGCTGGGGGTCGGCCCCTCGGACGTGACGTTCAGCTCCAGCGGGTCGAGGCAGTAACCTTCGGGAGACCTCTCGAACAGCACGTCCGTCAGGTCAGCGCCGGCCACGGAGGAGGGGGAGGCACACGGGATGTCCCTGACCAGCCTGTAGTTCTCCATCCACTCCTTGAGCCACTCGAGGCGGCAGTCGCACTCCCAGGGGTTGCGGAAGAGGTACAGGCGCCCCAGGAAGTACACGGGCTCGAACACGGAGAAGGGCAGCGTCGTCAGGTTGTTGCTGTTCAAGTGCAGAGCCACCAGGCTGGTGAGGTTCTCAAAAGCCCCTTCCTCGATGTAGCTGATCCTGTTGCGGTCCAGGTAGAGGAACTCCAGCTCCCCCAAGTCCCGGAACCAGGTGTTGGAAATGTTCCTGAGAAAATTCCCCCCCAGGTTGAGCATCTTCAGGCGCCTCAGGCCATCAAAAGAGTTTTCTGGAAGCTCGCTGATCAGGTTGTCATTGAGGTACAGGTACTCCATCCTCTGACAGCCCTGAAAAGCTCTCTCGTGGATGACATTTATCTTGTTGTCCTGCAGATTCAGGTACTTCAGCTTGGTCAGGCCCTGCAGGGAGTTATAGGCCACCGCTTCGATCCTGTTCCTCTCCAGGTACACGTGGGTCAAGTTCTCCATGCCCCTGATGGCGCCTGGGATCCTTCGGAAGTTGTTCTGGAAGCAGAAGAGCTCCTGCAGAGCAGGCAGCTCGATGAAGATCCTGTCTGGGATGTTGAAGAGGTTGCAGTCGGCCAGGTCCAGCCTGACGAGGCGGCGGAGCGCGGTGAAGGTGCGAGTGTGCAGATAGCGAATGTACTCGTTGTGGGCCATCTTCAGCTCCGTCAGGCTGGGCAGCCCCTTGAACGCCCCCGGCGTGATGAAGGAGATGTTGTTTTTATCCAGGTTGATGGAAGAGGCTTCGCAGGGGAACTGGCTGGGGATCTGGCCCAGCCCGGCACGGTCACACAGCACGGAGCAGCTCCTCNTTGCAGTCGGCCAGGTCCAGCCTGACGAGGCGGCGGAGCGCGGTGAAGGTGCGAGTGTGCAGATAGCGAATGTACTCGTTGTGGGCCATCTTCAGGGACTTGAGGGAAGGCAGCGTGCCGAAGGCCCTCTCAGACAGGAACTTGATGCTGTTTTTATCCAGGTTGATGGAAGAGGCTTCGCAGGGGAACTGGCTGGGGATCTGGCCCAGCCCGGCACGGTCACACAGCACGGAGCAGCTCCTCTCCGGGGTGCACACGCAGCTGGGAGGGCAGGAACGCATGCAGGCCCACACCCCGTGGACCTGTGGGACCCAAAGGATCACTGCCATCCCCACAGAGGCCAGGCAGGAGAGAAAATAATGCATCATTAGCAAATTAATTAGTCACAGCAGCAAAACAAATTACACTGGGTTTTCCGTCCCTCTAGCCAAGCTAATTGCCACTTGTACACCAGTGCTGACTGAGGAGCTCTTGTGTAAAATTCCTAAAAATCTTCTGGGGTTTCTAAACCTGCTGAGAATGTATGTCACCTAGAACACTATCTCTGATTAATTCCTCTCCCCAGGAGGAGGCTCGCCTAGAATTCAGTATTTCTCAAGTCTCTCAGTTGGGCTCTCTTTGCTGCCCAATGGAGACATGGTTTGGCCAGGGAGCAGCCAGAAATGCATTGAAGGTCAGCAGCTGTGGGTGAGTTACAGCATTCCTGGGTGTGGAGAAGGGGAGGGCAGTGTATGCTGAGTCTGGCAATGGGCAGGGGTGATCAATTAATTGCCCAAAGTGTGTCAAATTCATACTTTTTGCTTCTTTCTTTCTTTTACTCTTCCAACCTAATGTTTCTCCACCAGAGCCATGAGCTGGTGCAGCACTGGAAGGGGAACTCTCAGCTCTCAAGGAAATGCAATGCAGTGTTTGAAAACACATTCCCACTGTGTACTGGTATGACTGTGTGAGTGAAAACAAACTAAGAGATATTGTTCAACTGCTGGCTTCATGATCTCATCATAGATGAGAAACTCTGCATCTCCAGCACAGATTTTGCTGCTTTGCCAATTCTCAGGACAGTCACCCTTGTGCCTTATGTTTGATGGGAGCAGCCACTTCGTCCTTTATCAGCCTGACATGGGAGGTGCAAGGCTGTTGTTTCCTCTCAGGTTAGTCCCACGCAGGTGGGTGGACTATAAGGAAGAGAAGAAGGCTCTTGGGAGAAATGAGAGAAGAACAAAAAGGAACAAAAGGACTGGGAGACATCAGCCTCCACAGACAGGCTTTTTTTTTTTTTGCGAGGGAAAAACATCCAGTCCAAAAAAATCTGAAAAGTGATTTTTTTTTTTTTAATGCAAAATGCTTTTCCCCTCTGAAAGAGAATTTAGATTAGATATATGGAAGAAATTCTATACCGTGAGGGTAATGAGGCACTAACAGAAGATACCCAGAGAATCTGTGGATACTCCAATGCTGTCAGTGTTCAAGGCCAGGTTGGATGAAGTTCTGACAAACCTGGTCTAGTGGAAGGTGTCCCTGCTCATGGCAGGGGGCTCGGAATGAGGTGATCTTTTAGGCCCCTTCCAGCGAAATTCTTTCTCTAATTCCATGAAAATAAACTCATTAGAGAGGAGGAACTGAAGGCAGTTTTTTAAATTGCTCTCCCGGACACATCCTACCTTCTCCTTAACAAAATTAGCAGCAACACCAGCGATCTCCAGGTTGTCACAAGCACAGAATGGTGCTATTGCTGCTGACTAGTTTTCTGCTGCAGTTTATAAGCTCCCATGCAAACATAATCCTTTTCTTTTTTTTTTTCAGCAAAACATGAGGTATCAACAGCTTTACCCACAGCCACCTCTATTTCTGCACTGCTGGGATCAGGGGGGTTTCCTCCATGCTCTTGCTGAGTGTCCAGAGGGGGAAGCATCCAGCAGCTGGGCTGCCTCTCCCTGTGGTTTGCAGCACAGTGATTGCCCACTACAGCTGTATTTCCGTGGGCATTTTTAATAAGACACACTTGTGAGGTGACATGTCCAGAAGCATCAGCTTCAGCAAGCATCAAGTTTTATTTTTGCAGTCCTTAAGGCTTTAATGTACAGGACAAATGACAGTTTGGGCTAAAACTTCTCTGCCTTTCCTCCATCCTTTCTAAAGACAACATGCATGGGACTGTATTTAGGAGTTTACAATGCCTGTGTAAAAGAGACCTGCAAAACCAGTTTCCACTGAAGGGCATCAATCCCAGAGCTGCCCTGGAGCTGGGGTCTGTTCAACCATTCTGGTTATTGCATGTAGGAAAGGTATTTGGATTCACAGAGAGAGCATCACAAAAGGATGAGCTGTGGCCTCTTCATCAAAATTCAGGTCTCATCATTCCTGGGCACACTATTGTGGCTGGAGAATTAGCAAAACAACATCACTTCAAGGATAAATGATAGTGAAGGTCTCTGGGAGGTGGAAAGGATTTTATACAGGTTGTCATTTTGTTTGTCTGCTCATTCCCTTTTTCCCATGCCCTTATCTAACAGCCACAGCTAAAGGAAAATCTCCTTCAGTCCCCCTGACAACAGCTGGAGTTTAAGGACAAGAAGGGGAGCAATATGCTGGTCTCAGATTGCTCTTTCTTTGTGCAGCCTGCCCAGGGGCTGCCTCATTTGCTCCCCTCTTCACCAGTCCACCTTCTGCGTGCCAACAGGGGCATATGTTGTTTTTGTTAGGCAGTTACATAAACTGAGGGCCAGACAGATTAAGGATTTGCCTGTTCCCAAATGTCAGACTGGAGGTGGTTGTCTGGAAAATGATGGATGCAAGTGTTGCTGCTGGTAGGGAGCCTTGTGTGGGTTCAGGGTGACATCCAGAGGGACATTTGTGCATAGGTTGTCCTATAGGTGAGGCTGTCCTGAGCAAGCTCCGTGTTTAGCTCCAGCTGCCCCACGCTCAGTCACATCCCAGCCTTCAGAGCAGACCTCCATCCACTGCTGTGCACATGGTGGGCAGGGTAGGAATGAGCCTGCTGATAAACAAATCTCCTCCTTCCCCCCCCCACTTCTTCTCTAATCACTCAATAAAGGAAATGTCTGCCCCCAAGCCATATCCAGCCTGCTTTCCTTATACACAAGTGCCAAATCTGAGTCTTCTGCTGGTGGCATTTCATAGCAGACTCCTAAGATCTTTATTTACAAGTGCATCTTTGCAATGTGCAGGACATGGAAAGCAAGAGTATGAGGACCATCCAGTGGTCCATGAGAAAATATCCCCCCAGCAATAGGAGCTCAGAGAAACCTCTCAGCAATGCAGCCTTTGTGGGCAATTTCTCCTCTTTCTCCTGGAAAGGAATTTGGAAAAAATCCACCACCTGAACCCTACCAAACCCTCGGGAGAGCTGTTGCTCTGGGCAAAAGAGATCAGATCTTCCCTGATCTGGCGAGATCTCCTCTGATCACCATAGCCTGAAACATTCCCATCTTTCCCACCTTAGTCCTTCCCCTTCCCTAAAAAAGTACGTTCACAGATGGAAAGCAACTGGAAGCTTTCAGCAACTCAGTGGAACATCAAATGAGATATGTGTTTGAGCAAAAGAATGAAATAGAGCAGTAAGGTCAAAAATATTTGTGACATTAAAGAATAAAAAAAATTTCCTCCCATGGATTATATCTTTTGCTCTTTTAAACACTACAGTAACTCAGTATTTGGAAGAAAAAGTGAGAGACCAAAGGAAAAGAAACAAAAAACAAAGACTGCAGAGTCTTAGGAAGAGTAAAGAGACAATGATTGCAATAATTGAATATTTAACCGCCACTTTTCCAAATGATCTGTCTAATCCACTACTGGATAATGGAGAATAAGAGTATACTCACCATTTAGAATGATGGCAAACATTACCTTGATTATTCTCTAGTGGCATTTCAGGTCTGGCAAGCAAACTTGAGGGATCTAAAAGCACACAGGAAGAACAGAGATGGGTTTCATCCTCTGACATTTCCCTGCATCATTTTTCCACAAAAAGATCTACATTTAGAAAGGAAGATGAAGGAAAACGCTCTTCTCTCGCAAACTTTCAAACTGAAGAAGTCCCCAGCACCTTCCTGGTGAGTATCTTTCTTCCACCACTGACCTTCTCAGGGAATCCTGCAGCTTTGTGCCACTGCTTTTCAGGAGCTCATCCGTGTCCTTCCCACAAGCCATGCCAAAGGCAGATTCCTGTCATCTGAAGTGGGAAAGGATCACCAACAGTAAGAGACTGGCTCTATCCCCAGGAAATAGGGGCCGGTACAGAGGAGTGTAACCAGCTCAGCATAAAACAGTGGAAACCAAAATTCCCAACAGAAATTGTCCGGATGCGTCGCTTACCTGGCCAGGCAGTGGCCGTGTCCTCCCTCCTGCTCACGAGGCTGCCCTTAGCCATACGAGTCAGTCTCTGAAAAGTTGGCATTTTTTTCTCACAAGCTATCATTTAATGGCAGGAAAATCCTCTGTATCAGAGGAGGATTAGCAGAGATGGAAGAATGTGTCTGTCCTCTAAAGCTCCCAGAGCGAAACAGGGATTGCAGACGAACCAAACGGATGCTTTCTCCCCTCTGCCAACCTGCTCTCCCCCCACCATTAAAAAAAAAAAAATACAGTCCAGAATTGGACTGCTGCCACTCAAACAGCATTGCTGAAAGTCATTACTCCACTCCCCATTATGTAATGGCAGAAGAAGTGGGAGAGTGCCGCCTAAATGGAATTAAATTTGGGGGCAATCACAGGCTTATGGCTTGTCTGCACTGAGCTCTCCAAACAGACACAGCTTGAGACTCTCAATCCCCATGCACATTTTCCCAGCCCCAGCGTGGCTCACACACTACTAACAGGGTGCCAGTGTGCTTTGCTTCACTAGGAATTGCTCCTGAAGGACAAGGAGACACCAACAGCATCAGGAAAAGGGTCAGCAAACACGAGGAGCTTGCACTGTGAATATGGCCTTGACAATAATACATTCTGGCCTATCTGTGAGTGTGTTTTCCTTGTGATGCAGCAGCTGGTGCATGGAAATCATAAGGACAGCTTCTGTATGCGGTGATGTTTTAGCATTCAGGATGTGAATTGGAGTTTAAAGCCTTTTCTGACAGAATGATGATGGTTTCTTTGGAGAGTGGGGGCTGAATAAGTGAGTTATCTCAGCCTCCCATGCCTTAGGTAATTGCATTCACCATGTCAGGGGGAAAAATAGCTCCACTCTTTATTTCCAAGTGAATTATTCGGCTTTATTTTTTTTCCCAGGAAATGGAATACCTGATGAATTTATGCTTGATACAGCAAGAAAGATTCAGCTGGGAACCAGCCTGCTGCTGCACAGCTCTTCCCGCAAATTAAAGCACCCAGCTACATCAGGTTCATTTTGGTTTGGCTTTCCCTCAGTCTTAAGGCATC